ATCACAATGGCCTTTCCAGTAGCTGTCCTGACCCAGGGGAACCACTGCTGAATCTGGGAAGTGGAGTTTGTCCTAGCAGCATGGGACTAGTGATTCAGCAAAGGTGCCAGACTTACATGTCTCCTGTCCAGAACTGAGTCGGTGGGGAGAGATGGACACCCTGACAGTGATCTAAGCCGTCATACAAAAGAGATCTGAGATAAACAGATAACACATCCTTCTCCACTGATGACAGGAACAGCCTGGGTTATTGGGATAGGATAGACACCTGACTACTAGAGTGCCTGAAGTTGGGTAAGATGAATCCCCTTCAAACAAAGCTTCAGAATTTGTCAAAGTATTTGGTAGACTGGGAAAGTAGCCTTACATATTAGTAAAATAAGGTTAATTCTTTAGAAACAGATAATTTGATTAGCATCTTGACTAATTCCACTTGGAATGACAAATAATGACTCCCATCATATCTTACTTTTACTTTAATTTGAAGGCAAAATAGCAAACACCCGAGTAAGAACATTTGATACACTGACAAAAGGCTTCAGAACATATTCTAAAATGATATCATTTATATACTACTGTTAACTAATTTTTGTAGTTATTGTCATATGCAGTTATTGATTTAATAATAATACAGCAGATTCTGAAAAACGATATTCAGTTTACAAAAGCAAAGCCAGGAATTGTTTTCATCACTCCAGAAACAGAATCTCAATATTATCTAAGGAAAAAGAAAAAAAAAACAACAAACTAACAAATAAATGGTTCTTGCACTGTGTAGCTAAGCTCATGAGACTGTGTCTGTTTCCATCCATGAAAGCAAAGAAAATTCCAGAAAGCTTGATGTCAAGAGATATTTTGAAGTCTTCATGACTCCACAGTGCACTGGCCACAGACCTAACAGCAAGACTACAGGCTGCTTTACATCACATACTGAGAGAAGAATTTTAATATGTGTGAATAATCTTCTGTGCTACAGCCAGCATCTCTAGCTCCCAATTCCTGCAGATGTGTGCACAGGGTGACATCACATCTTACAAAGTGGCCTCACTGCATCCCCACGCCCTCTGTCCTCCCACCAGCGCACTCCTGCACATTCAGTGCTCACGTTGTCCTCACGTCAGCTCAACAGATGAGGCTGATGTGACAGCCAGATGCCTGTGATACTGCAAATGCTCTGAAGAGCAGCTGTGCTCTGGCTCCATCATTTTTCCTTTGCTATGCTGAATCCAATAGGATGCCTAAACCAAATCTTGTATTGATCCAGTTCATCAACTTTTATGGGGTGTGGAGGACAAGTGGTGACAGCACTGGAGATTGAAGCATCTGGGAAGGTGTGCCACATAGCTCTCACTAGCTTCTGCATGATTCTGGCACAACCATCTCCCACGAGTCACTGGAGGTGACTCTCTCACCATTAAACTCTTTCACCACTTATAACTGAGGTTGCTTCTCTCCCACTAGCACCACTCTTTCCACACTATCAGTCTTCAAGGCAGTCCAAAGAGGAAAAGGCCAACAGACTAGCAGCAGAGCAAGACAAGCACAAGTCTGGTGTCTGCACCCTTACTTGGGCTATAAGGAGCAATGACATTCCCCCACCACCACATTCCTGGGTATGTGTGTCTGTATTCCCTGGTGCAGCATAATGTCACATTGCCACATCTTGGCACAGACCACCACCCAGGCAGTCGGCATCTTCAGAAACCCTGGACAAATCCCTTCTCTTTTCCTAATGATGAGGTACAAGGAGCAAGCTTCTCCCTCACAGGAAATGATTAAGGAATCACATTTGCTAAGTCCTTCTACAAAATTCTGGGTTTGGATCAGCAGTTACCCAAAAAAACAGCACACAGGCCACACTAACAGTCAGATTGCTTCACAGCACACTGTGAGGAAAATTCTCTCTCTAATGCAAGAGAAGGGATCAATTTTGCCTCTATATGAGACAGCAGCTCCTGCAACTGCAAGCTGTTCAGCAGAATCTGGGGAGAAATTTTTTTCCCTGGAGCACCATGACCACATCAACTCATTTGTTGTGTTTTCCCATTGGATGAAGTAATGCCTTCCAGCTTATGCTGAATTTGGATCCTGAGTGGCCTAAAGGTTTAGGAGATGTTAAACTTTGCTAACCCCACTGCACCTGCAAGAGAACACATCTTTCCATACAGTTTCAGCATTTAATATGGGAAGTCCAGAACACTGAACCCACAATTTTGAATACCTTGCTTTCCACAGTGCCTGTTTCTGTAACAGTATTGAGGCACTGCTCAGCTCCAGATATGGGCCTATGCCCTATTTCATCATTTAGGAAAAGTACACATCTCATATCTTTCTTGAATTTGGAAACATTTATGTTTATTGTTTCCATCCTACAACATCCCATTTCAAAAAATTCCTCTCTTCTGTTTTGAAACACTGCAAATCCATACAGGGTCATCTAGTTTCTACTCTAATACATATATTAACCTTAAATAATAGATAAAGTGTACTTTACATAACATAATCATTGGTATAACCTTAGCGCAAAAAATACATTTTTATATTAATGAAAAAAACTTATACCTAAAGTTACAGACGTATATAGGCTTTGGCATACCAGGGGGACCAAATGTCCCTGGGTCTCAGTGATCTTAATGAATGTTTTACAACTGGTTTCCTGATTCATGGTCTCCTGCTCTTTTGACTTTACCTGTTGATGGTTCCTCAGCCTGGACACTTGCCCAGTGTTGCTGTCCTTGCACAAAGCAGGCAGACATTTGTGTTCTGGCATGTGGCAGAGCTGCACTTTCCACAAGCAGCTTTAAGATGGGCCGTAAAGGTGAGCAAGAAGGTGGCAAGGTTATCTGTAAATAAATGAGTAAGGCTTAGAACAGCTGGTGGAGGAAGACAGTGAGAACCAAATGGAATTAAAGAATGCAGCCTGAGAGAGAGAGAGCAGAAAGACTCAGGCATAGCTCGTGTGTTGCAGCACTTAGATATCCACATTTTCTCTTTGCCACATATTATGGGCTTGCAGATATGCATCTCCTAGTTAACACCCTAGCTAATTAATAAAGATCTATTTAACTACATGGGAAATGGGTGCTTCAAAGCTCTGAGCAGGTATAAATGCCAGATATAGAACTGTTCAGGAAAAAAGTGAAAAGGAAAATGACAGTTAAATTTTGCCTACATTTTAATGTCATGACACTGAAAGATTCAATAGACAGCAATTTATTGTACAAATTTCAGACTATACTAAGAACAGAAAAATGTCTGAGACAGCAACATATTAAAAGATAATATTGTGCTGCAAGTAGAATAAATGTGAAAGAAAATTCAAGTCATTTATTAATGGTAATATCTTCTATTGCACTAAACAGGGGTATGATATTTGCCTCAATTAATACAAAATTCAATGTTCTTGACTTTGGACAGAGCATTATTTATCATGTGTTTCCTGTAGCAGGCATGGAACTAAAGCTGTTCTTCATTATTACAAATATGCATAATTTTCTCACTGTAACAAAGTAAGGCCTCGTGCATCAGTGACCTTAAACTACCATCCCATAGTACCTCATTAATGCTGTCTGCTTCATATACAGGAACAAGATCAACCTCCTACTAGGGAGAAAGTGTTAAAAGTGTTAAAAACTGGAGTCCCAGGAAGAAAATATTTATGTGGTGCTAGAGACATGGTAATGTCAGATTTTATCAGCTGATGTTGCCTGTTGCTCTTGCAGTTAAAATGTTTCACTAAAGGTTTCCATAGCTGAACAAACCTTCCAGAAATGCTGAATCTTTGGGACTGGAAGTTCAGTCAGATAAGCAGTGCGTAATTATTCAGTAGTCACATGAATTTATTGGAACCTATTTGGACAGGAAATGCGGCTGTTAGTCTCACAAAATTAGTCTCTCACTAATTGCTGATTTCAATCTTCTTAGCAATATTTTCAGAAAAGCTTCTCATTGTGCTTTTTATACATCACACCAGTAACCACATTTTCAAATTCTATGTGCCCTTTTCAGGAGTTTATTCACCTCTGCCTGTACCTACCAGTCAGAGTGGAACAGAACACCCCCTAATCCTAAAGCAACCCCCCCTTCCTGTCTGCTCAGCAGTAGTATTTCTTTCAACAGGCATCCTTGCAAGTCCAGCAAGCATTAAGCAGATATGTAATACTCCACCAGAAAGTAGGGCCTGGCTAAGTAAAACAACATGAAAATATAAAAGAAATGAAGAAGTTATTGCATCAAACCAACAGTGCATCTACCCTTCCCTCAATGAGATATAAAAGCTGATTTCTGGACCTGTCAGAACAGGAAGAGTATGTCATGTTATTTCCCCAGTAAATTTTTCCCAGCTTCTATAAAACTGATTTAGGGACATCCTAACCAGTAGTTGAGGTTTTGTGTCTTAGAGCAAACTGTGAGGATCAGCAGTGACCTGCAGCACTCCCACAGCATTCCTGCTGTGCATTCCAGGCCAGGAATGAAATCATCAATTGGCACCATCTACCACTCTGTGCCCTGATGTCACTTTTGATGCAGAACCAAGAGAGCTCAACACTGATCCCAGGGAGGTGGGTGACAGGACAAGGGCTTAATGGTTTTAAGGTGCAAGAGGGTAGGTTTATATTAGATATTGTGAAGAAATTCTTCACTCTGAGGGTGGAGAGACACTGGCATAGATTACCAAATTACAGATCTCCCATCCCTGGAAGTGTTCAAGGCCCACTTCGATCAGGCCCTGAGCACCCTGGAAGAACTAGTACAAGGTGCCCCTGCCCGTGGCAGAAGGGTGGAACTAGGTGATCTTTAAGGCCCCTTCCAACCCAAACCCCTCTGTGCCTGTGCCTCACACACTGAGGCAAGGAGTGCCTTCACATGCCATGGTGATGTGACACCAAGCTACCACACTGAGCCACTGACCTGTCTGTGGGACACCTCCCATCCTCCAGCAGGAAAGGGAAGGGAAAAGCAGCTTTCCTTGGCTTGAACTTCTTCTGGTGATGCACAAGTGGCTCCTGTACAACTACCTGACTGTGAACTGCAGACCCAAGACCTAAAACAAATAAATTCTTTGTTATTTAAAACAATGTTTTTCATAGCTTCACAGCAAAAGCCCTGCAAGTGTTTGACTCATAATCACAGCAACATATGACTAGAAATCAGAAAAAATAAAGGAATCTCATAATGAAAGTTGTGGAATCTCATAATGAAAGTTGTTGTTTTTCTTTTCCAGAAAACACAGCCAAAGAGATTTATGAAATGCTGCAACAAGGTCAGAGGGGCATGAGCAATTGTCCTGGGGACATATGGTGCAGTGCACAGTTTTGACAGTAACACAATGATACTCAAATAAGCAACAAAAACAAACTAAACCAAATATTTGCAACTGCAGTGACATTTGCTTTCCTATACCTTCTTCCCTTTTTCCATTCCCTCAGGACTACAAAAACCCCTGACAGATTAGTAGGATGGAGATCCGAATGCTACCTCTGGCAGCACATCTACTGCTGAGACCAAAGTCAGCACAGAACAGCTTACAAAAAGGTAGTAATTTAAAGCAAATTAATTAAGCATCTAAAGGAAAATAAAAAAAATTCTCCATGCTGAGGGAAAGTGATTTTTCATGTCCACAAGATGAGGAACTTGGCAAAGATGTCATGACTTAAAGACAGACAGAATTGCGAGAATTAATCATTCTCTGCTTCAACAGACGTCTTGACTTCAATCCTGTTAAAGATGGAAATAGAAGAAAAAGTGAGAGAAATCCAGATAGGCTATACTGTTAGACTGTGCTGAGTGACTCTGCCTGAAACTGAAGCACCAAAGACTTGCCTGAAACATAAGAGATATCAGAGGTTGATGAGATTGTGCCAAGGACTGAAAAATCCAATCACACACACACAGAGAACTGTCACACTTCTTACCTGCAAGGAGTAAATCAGAGAGGCAGATATAAGAAAGACATCTTTCAGAAGCAAAGTCTTCTGAGAAAGCCTGCTTTCTGTGTTCATTTGCAGAATATTACCACATACTGATACGTGTACAGAAGTGAATTCATCTACATCCAAGGCGGGGGAGCTGAAAAACATCCGTCTGCCTAAAATGTGGATATTATACTCAAAAAACTCCATCTTCTCTCCTGGCAAATTCACAGAATAACTTTTGCTTCCTATCCTGCAACATGGACACAGCTGAGAGTTAACTTTCTCCTATATGGTTTCATAACTTTGTGTGTGTTGAATGCTTTATTACTTGTCATGGTGTGCAGTGCAGGAAACCCTAAGTGACAGAGTTGCAGCATTTTTGAAAGCAGATCTAAGCCTGGAGGAGGGGTGATAGATTGTTTAATTTCAGGGTAATACAGGATGGGATTGGTTATCCAAAGACAAAGTAGGCTCTTGGTTTAAGGACTGGTTCAGACACTTATCAAATCAAAAAGATAGGAGGCTGCAGAGCAATTCACCTAAGACAGCAGTCTGTTATAACTGGGAATCCTCCAGGAGATCCTACTTTCTCAATGACATCTTAAAATACAGAAATCATACATAATTTTATTAAAATAAGCTCCGATATTATTTATGCAAATAGAAGACATTGAGGTGTAATATGGTGCTGCTGGGCTATCTGTGGTCTCACCTATTAATTGTTGCCTGCTGAGAGATTGTGTAAGAAAATGTGGAGTTACCCACTCGGTAATCATCATGATTATATTTGAGTTCAAGATCTTGTGGAAATGTCTTTCTTTCTACATACTCCCATGAAAGAAGTAATGGACTGAAATACTTTTGGCTCCCTTTAAGCAATATGCTAATCTCCACCCAAAGCAGGAAAAGAAAAAGGCGAGCTGTAATGCTCAAATGAGGACTGAATTTTGGGAAGCATCAACATGGATTGGATGAAGGGACCAGCTGTAGACTGGAAGCCAAAGGTGGCACAATGCCAGCCCTGCTACATGCACAGCACCAGTGCTCTGCAGCTAGCTGGATGGATGGTCTACAGAGAGGAGAGCAGAGAGGTGTTCACCCTGCTCAGATTTTCCAAAGTTTCAAGCAAAGATACACAGGGGGATATGTTGGTACAGCTTTTAGCCTTTTCTCTGCAAAATGCATCTGGCAAGGCACAGACTTGCTACATCCTTTGAATCCTGAAATGTTTGGCTGAGGGATAGCACTGTTGTTTATACAGGTTTGATCCTTTCCTTCCCGTTTGTTGTCCATGCATGTTTGAAGCAGTTGATGTAATTAAGCTGTCATCTGCCAGCACTCTACACAAGCTTCCCCAACAATTTTGTGGCCTCCTGATAAGGGAAGACTCACCTCAATACTAAAGAGTCAGAAATCATTCACAACCAGCACACTGGCACAAAAGTCATCATTTGTACCCATGGATCTAAGTATCAAATAAATATAATAAAAATCAGTGCAGGAAAATATACTTCATTGAGGACGAGGAAAGGCATCCACTATACCCACAAATCTGATTTTCCTAAGGTATCCATACCTTAGGAATACCACAGTATTTTTCTGCAATCATATATTTTAAATCAGTTGTACTCTGTTTCTGAGTGTATAAGAACTTGCCAAACCCATCATCATTTATAAACTTATTTGTATTCAAATGGAACCAACAAAGCATTGTTCTGAAGAAACGAAATCTCAACTGCATAGTCCAATTCATTCATTTCTTTCATAGAAGACTTGATGGAGATTTGTAGTTAGCTGAAATTTCTCCAGTTACATTTGTGACACAGTCACAAAATTAATAGCAAAGATTTTCTGTCATTTGCTTGGATACCTGTTTGGTATTTTTTATTATCTTAATTGTTCAGACAACAATTTCCACATTTCTCAGAAGTTTCCAGACAATTATTTTTTTATTGGAGGAGAAGCAAAATCAATTAACAAATGATCCAGTTTTAAAGGTCAAACCAATGATCAAACCAGTCCCTATTGTAGCTTTCTTACACTCAGTGGTGCTGTTCAATTGTGGTAGCTTCACCATTATAATGAAATAACACATTTGCTTTTAATGTATTGACATGGCAGTGCAAAATTAATATGACATTGCTTTTGCATTGCCATGATGATATTATTATTAATTTATATTCCCAGGTTTTAGATTTTTTTTTTTAAGTACTTATAGCAGCAATACATGAGTAAAAGTCAAACAAAGTCGCCCTAAACCCAACAAGATAGTTGGAAGCATACAGGAAATCTGCATTTGCTGCTGCAATAATCCAGGGCAGTTCTCTGGCCATGAAGGCAAGGTACCAGCACAGCTTTTGTCAATACAACTAAACTGCTTTCTCATTCCTAAGACAGGGTACTCTTGTCCGAACAGTCACTGATGAACAGCCTCTCACAGGTGACATCTCTTGGAAGCTTATACTCTTTACAAAACTCTTGCTTTTATTTCACTTTCTTCACTTTTATTTCACTTTATTTCACGTATTTCATTTCTTCATTGGGATTACTTTCAAAGGAAGTTGCCAGCCCTCATGAGCCCAAATGACTGGGGATAAAAGTGTCAATGGGTGACTGATCACTGACGTTCAAGACCACGCCAGCTACAAAACAATCCTTGCTTGTTATAAAAGTAAAGGTCACATTTGGAAAAAAAAATCCAAAAGAAAGAAGTTGCTGATTATGTAGACTTGGATAGAGATTACAAACTAGGACTTTTAAAACAAGAAAGCCAGTAAGTGAAGTAAAGAATGCAAATCTGTGGTGAATAGGGTTAACAATAGTCAGAAAGACATTTTGGACATAAAGGGAGTGAAAGGAATACTAACAGTGGGACTGGAAATTATAAAATTGCCAAGAATAATCCAGAAAAAGAGAAGTGTTGAATAAGTAACTGGTGTATCTTTGGCCAGGGATCAAATGATGTGTTCATTTCATAAGAAAATCATGAAGCAATTTTCACTCCAACAGTGCATCAGAAGACGTCAAATAAGAGCTACTGATTTTAGAAATATTTATAGCACTAAGACTCAAAATGAATATATGAGAGTCTAAAAGGAGTCTATGTGTAAGCCCCTCCACACCATTAGTGTTGATCTTTTCAATAAATCTTGTAATACCAGGAAAGTTCGAGAAGAGAAGAAAAAGTAAGGAAACACTAGTATTAAAAACAAAAATTAAGAGAGAAAAAACAATACAACTGAAGTAATTTCAGATTTTCAGACTGACTACTATCAATCTCAGGTGAAATAGAGGAAAGGCTGATACAGGAACCAATTAGTAAGGCATAAGAGGGAGGCAGTATAATTATTGCCACTCAGTGGGGTTTTTTGGGAAATAGATACATCAAACTAACTTGATATCTTTCTCTGATGAGATTAAAAATGGCCTGATAGAGCAAGTGGTGTCACTATATTTGGGCTTCTACAAGACATCTTACACAGTCAGTACCATATACTGCAAAAAACATTGATTAAGGATGCCATGGAAAAACACCACACAGATTAAAGGGATTAAAACTGGCAAGTGCTCACATACCAAAATGTCACTGCAGGGATGTGTGCTTTCAGTGAATTTCACTGGGGATCCAGTCCTACACCAGTTAAACTTTCTGCTTGAGACACGGAAGGAAGCATAAATCTGTCGTTGATGAGAACTGTAGATAACACAAAGACTGGGTGAAGAATATATAATTAAGATGATGGATGGCTGATGCAGAGGGATTTAGAGCACTTTATGATGCGTCAGAAGTGATGTATTATGTGCACATCAAAAATTGTACACTTTCTCCCACATATACATAGGCCAACGGAAAGACACATAAAAGGGGAAATATAAAAGCAAATATTCAATTCTTAGCCAAATTTTACCACCTTGCAAGGTGGATATAAATAAAAAACACTTTAATCAGACCAGTTGGTGGTCATATGTCTTTGAAACAAAGGAAGTGAGGCATCTCTAGGGATTCAATTTGGAGAAAAAAAGTTCCTTATGAATATGAGATCTTATCTAAGCAGGAACATAACTCCTCGGAAAGAACATGTGTTCTCAGTTCAGTTCTTTGGCCAAAAAAGGAGCCCCAGATCTCTTAAAAAGATGTGGAGCTGGTCCTGGTTTTGCACTGAACATTGATGTAATCACAACTGGAATATTGTGTTCTGGAAAGGACATTGGTAACTGCGAGGGAACAAGGCAGCACAGAAAAAGATGAAAGAACAAGAGAAAGCATGTGTTAGTAACACTGCAGAAACTTAGTCTATTTAGTTAATGAAAGAAAAGGTTAAAAAGGAATTTGGAGAGTTTGTAAGTACTTACAAGGGAATACAACTTTTTTAATGGGTTATTCAATTCAGCAGACAAAGCAAGTAAATGAAAGTTAATGCTGGAGATACAATGGAAATAAGATGCAGAAACTGGTTGTGGTGAAATGCATCTAATGACAAGATCAGTTTTAAAACAAAGACTGAATATAGTTTAAAAGCCAGTATTCTGCATGAAACACAAATCAGCTCAGGAGAGTCCTACAACCTGCAATACACAGGTTGATTGTAGGTACTACTGCCCTTACTACATGTTTACAGGGCAAAACTGAATATAACTGCAAGGGTAAATACTATTAGGTTTGTGAGAATAACATGCAGCAGATGTATGCAAAGAAAAAACAAATTTTGTCTGAAAAGTATATAATGATATTTGTAAAAGGGGTGTACACAAAAAATCATGTAAAGATAGAGACATAAAAAGCAGTAACAGGAATAATTCTTCATAGAAGTATTTTGTAATGAAAGGAGAAGCCATGTCTAAGACACTGTTGCATGGTATATAATTCAAGTTTTAATCTAAATGTACCAATTTCCTTCACAAAACAGTAGGTGATATTCTAAACTGTCAAATTAAATTGAGGGAAAATACTATCTGCCACCCACTGCTTCCTGCATTTTGATAGTTAAAAACCTTCACTTTACTTGCAGAGTGCTTTAATTTGAGCCTTATGTTTTCAGTTTCTCTCAGATCAAGCTCCTCATCTCCCCAAATTCTCCATAGATTTGAGACTGGCGTGTGAATAACAGAGGCACTCACTCACTATTAACAATGGCAAATGCAAAATAAGCAGGAAATAGATATATGCCTTGCCAAGCCTTATAATTACAAATTTGGCTTGATTCATGCCAGTTCAACTCAATCCAGATTCTTCTGTAAATGTTGAGCAGTCAAATCCAACAGAGGAATGTTGCTGGAATTACACAAAGGATGAATTTATCTCAGACAATTTAATGCCTGTGTGTTTCTCATGTGCAAGTCTCTGTTTGGTTTCATCATGCAGGAAACAAATGCACAGATTGGTAACCATTGACAAAAGAAGTTTATGAGGAGCAGATGAAATGTTTGCCAGTTCCAAATACCTTGCAGGTATGGGTATTTTCAGTCAACTCACAGATCTTTTTTTATTCTTTTTTTTTCTTTTTCTAAATGATCCAGTGCCTGGGCACAATCCAATTAGAGATTTTATTTCTTTCTCTTGGTTCTCCTTGGTGGATTAATTTTTTGCAGCCCTACCAGAGTGAGTCTTCCTTACCCTTGCCCCAGCAATACTCAGTGGAGCAGCTGATGTGAGAGAATAGAGCAGTGAACTGCTGTTCAGTGGGAAGAATGTGATTCAAAAGCAGATGGTAGATACCCCCAAAAAAGGACATTTCCAGAGCAGCACCAGACTCCAGAAACATACTAAGGATGAGGTGACCCAGAGGTGTCTTCCACCCCAGAGGTGTATGTCACCCAGGCACATGACATTTCTCAGCTGCAATCCAGGATGTTTGCTGCTGCAAATGAAGGGTGCAAGAAGAAGTACAGCCAAGATAGAAATAGACAAAATGAATAAGGGTAAAATTAATGAGTATTTATCAATCACATAAAGGCAAAGCCTGCTTTAGTCATGTTATGTTCGCCTGCACCTTTCCTGGAGTTGCACATTGCACAAGTGGGCTTATGCATGCACTTTTTAGCACAGTGTAAAATTTCTGCTGCATGCATTGAAATACCATGATTCCTTCCTGTGCACAAGCTATTTCTTTGAAAGTTTTCAGCTCCTTTTTGGCATCTTCAATCTTTTTATTTGTCCAAGAAGAAAACAACCTTTCTTCCCTTTCCTTTTTAGCACTAACGCATTTGTCAGAAAGAAACTACCTTTTTTTTTTCCTAGCCCAATCCAGCATATAAATTACCTACCAGATGAGAATTTTACAAAATCAATGAACAAATAATTATTTTTTTACTAATAGTAGTGTGTTTTAATTGCTTAAGGCAGGACTTAAAAGGCTGTGATATTTAAGGAAGCAGCCAATTTCCACAGTATTAACTGTGGAATTCAAAGGTGTGGTTCAGCTTCTTTGTATTCTGGAGAGGTTCATTAATGCTGAGAGTCATCAGCTCTCTGTACTAGAGACTTTTCTTAGAGCCTACCTGGTCCTCCATCACAATTCTACTACATTTAAACTTTGGAGAATTTCTTTACCAGTTCTTTTTTATGCTAAATATGACTATACTCATCTCTGTGGACTGTTAGATCCTAGAAGTTATGAACATGAAGCAGGGAGGGAACTTCCTTTATTCATCTGCTTTTGCAGCATACAAATCTTCTTACTCTAGCTCAGTGCAAGTTGGTTAGACTGCCTCCCAGAATTTTAAGGATGAGATTAATTTTCAGGGAGTCACAATCTTCTGATGCTTGTTCAACTTAAGGCTGGGGAGCTGCAGATCTCCCTATAGAGCTATAACAGAAATATTCCTGCTTCTCTAGAAGCTCTACAGAGCTTCCCTGTAGTAGTGCCACCCCAGGATCCCATTATCCACCTTTGGCTGAAAGTGGCCCTGCACAGAGGCAGATGATAAATTAATATTCCAGATTTCAGAGGCCACAGTCTCAAAAAAACAGGGTACACGGACAGCTCCATCAATAGTCATTACAAAGAGGGTACCTAACTGATTCTGAGAAATCATATTCAAATATTTAACCAAGACTCTTACCATCCATAATGATCATAAAAACCCCCTACAATGAAGCACTACCCACTTGTAATTGCTGATTATATGCTGGGGTTTTCAACTGAGGCTTTTTCCTTATTTGCCTTATTATCACAAAATTGGGCAGAGATAGTTAATATAATGCACACAAAAAAATTAGACCTTGCACAGAGCAACCTGTACTTTCATTCCTCATTTTCAGTTTTATTAGAGAACAACACTAAGCAATTTTATGTTAAGGTAGAGTGAGGCAATATTGAATACATTTTTCTCTCATTGTTTTGTACAGCAAAAATACTAAGAACATGTTTTCCTTGAACAAAAACAAGGATCACTTCATTAACATCTTAAAGCTATTACCAAGAACAGAGGCAGATATCAACCTGCCCACATTCTCTATTTGTTTTGTTGGAGTTTGTTTTTTTTTTTTTTTTTTTTTTTTTTTTTTTTTTTTTTTTTTTTTTTTTTTTTTTTTGGTTTTTTTTATTTTGGTTTTTTTTTGGTTTGTTGTGGGGGGGTTTTGTAATTATTTTTGTGCAATTTTTTTTCTCCTCGTAGCTTGTACATCCACTTAAGGAAAATTTTGAAAACAGCTATGCTTGCAAAACATCTCTTCCAGGACAGAGAGCTGTTTACATTACGGCAATGTTTACCCAAGCAAAGTACAGACACCCACTAGGAGCAGTGGCATCCTGGCATCTACCTGCAAAATGCATCAGAACCAGGCTGTGGTCCTGGCGCTGAAAGAACCCCCTTTAACTCTTACCTTTATATTTGGGTGTTCCCCTCACATATCCTCCGTGGCTGAGCTTCAAAAGCAGCCTGCAAGAAAAGAGCAGAGACAGATCTAAATTTGTTATAGCTGCTTGCTCCTGGCCTAAAAGGTCTCCATGCTCTTCCTGAAAGATGTGTAGGGTGGGAGGCCATGGTAGAAACCACAGGCTTCTCATGTGCTTTAATTCCTGTGCTGAATGCTACCCTTTTAATCAACTTCTTAGTGACAACTCTTGGTTCCAGGGTTGCAACTGGCAGCCTGCTCACTCTGTTGTGCAACAGTGTCTGCTGGACAGATGTGTTTGGATATAACAGTACCAGAATATAATTTTAGTGAGTGTTCATGAGCTGTTTTCTGGATGGTAGCCCAGCATGCCTTCAGGTTCAGCTCAAATAAAAGAGAGAAATGGGGTGCTTCAGCAATTTCAACAGAAACATCCATGAATGGCCAAATCCTCAGCATGAGAAAAGAGAAGAAAACACAGGCATTTGGTTTTAATCAGCGCATTTCCATTGGGAGATCTCTGCATCATTGTCTGCTGTCCCCTGTCTACTTTGACCTTCAAACAAGTGGTTGGAGAGCAAAAAGCTTCAACCCCAACAAAGTCACTGTGAAGCTTGGTCCAAACCTGACAGCAAACAGAGCCTCTGATCTCTGGGTGGTCCTTTCTGAGAGCCAGTGAAGAGGTGCAGGCAGAAAACATAGAAATGCAGGTGCTCTTTCCCTCCAGTCACTAGTCATGAACTCATGAGTAGAAGAGGAAAGTTAAGTTCACTCTCCAAGGGCTGCAGCAACTTGTTTTTCCATCCTGCTAACTTGAGAAAGGAAGACTTGTGTCTGAGAGGAAAGGCTGAGAAAAAATGGGTAGTGTTTGTGTGTGGGTGAATGGCATATAGATACCTTCCCTCTTTAAGATGGGCAGTTGTTTTATTGGCTTGTGTTGAGTTGAGTGTCTTCACTGAAGAAAATTACTATTTAAAAGGGATCCTCAAATGCCATAACCAGATGTGCACTATGTAGTCATCCTCCTGAGATATCTCAGCTGGTTTTCAACCTCTCTTCTACCTATTCTTCTTGATCTCTGTCACCTTTAGCTGCATAAACAAACATATTTGCCAAACACTGTATGTGATTTCCCATCAGGGAAATATTTCTCCCTTGCTTCCTATTGATTCTGTGGAGGAAAAGAAGGGATTCTATTATTTAGTGTCCATGCACTGAAAGAGCACCTGAATTCTTTTTGCAAGTATAATTTTTGTCAAACAAGTCATCTGAAGGCTGGGTAATCCACTGTTGTTTAAATTATTTAAGGACTAGTGCATTACCATACTAGTATGTCTGCATTAAAAACATATAGCAGGAAAATAGCACATTCGGCAGTAAAATGTTCTAGTAAGTTGCTAATAAAAAATAAATTAGCATGATGTAGCAATTGTAATTTAACAACCCTCAGCTTGCTGTGATATGCAGCAGAGTAAACAAACCTCATTTGTTTCTTACACATACACATTTTACGTGTATAAATATACTTGACATCAGCTTATATGCACAGCTATGTTCTTTCCAAAGAATTCATATATCAAATTATATTCAAATCGTATCTGGCACCAAAAAAAACCCTGCTGGGATATCCAGCAACTAAATTAGTTAATTCAGAAGTATTAGTGATCATTTTCAAACAGGAGTTACAGAAATAAAGGACTACTCATTTTTGTGTGATTAATCACATCATTTTATCTGCCAATACTTCTTAGAATAGCTAATTGGTTTTCCAGTATCTGTACATGGTAGTTCTGGGTTAGCTGTGCATTAACAAAGGCCAAGTCACTGCCCTTGCACTGTCAGACATCATTATTTTCAATCAGACCAGTCAGTTTCTAGGTTAAATTACAAATCCATTGAATATTTGTTTGTTGTGCCAGACACAGAGCTCATACATTCGACCCAAATGGAACATTCCTTGCTTTCTGGCATTCAGAGATAAAAACTGAATCGAATTTCTTGTTTGCTTGATGGTGTCTTTTTTAAAAAATTGCCATCTGCCTTTTTGTTTGGAAAAAGTATTTATTTTCCCTAATTTTCTTTTTTCCCCCTTTTACCCCCTTTTTCCCCCTTCCTCTCCCCCTTTTTCAGCTTAAAGTGAGAAGATACATCTCTGATAACAAGAGTATCTCCCTACCTTTTAAAAATATACCACTAGAAAGGACAAACTTAACCTTGACTAGCTGACATATTTGAAAGAAATTATTTCTCTAATTATCTGCTGAAAACTTTGTATTGAATGAAGTAGGTCAGGAACAGATTCTGCCTTGGAGCAGGCATGTGTGCCTGCAGAAGTGCATGAAGTCACCGCTTCTGCCATCAGGTACAATTATCCTGGTATTTGGACTCAAGTGAATAAGAGTAAGTGGATTGCTTATGTCTAAACTCTTCCTGGGAGAAATAAGCAGAGGAAATGAAAACATCAGTTAAAACAGTTCAAATCATAGAATCATAAAATGGTCTGGATTGGAAGGGACTTTTAAAGGCCATCTTATCCAACCTGTCTTGCAATAAGCAGCGTCATCTTCAGCTAGATCAGGTTGCTCAAAGCCCCATTCAACCTGACCTTGAATATTTCCAGAGATGGGACATTTATCATCTCTCTGAGCAGTCTGAGCAATGTTTCTACCCTCATTGTAAAAAATCTCTTCCTTGTATCTCATCTAAATCAACCCTCTGTCGGCTTAAAACCATTACTTCCTTATCCTATTGCAACAGGGCCTGATAAAATGTTTGTCAAGGCAACTGCAAACTCTTTTCCTCCCACTTCTCACTTTTTCTTCATTTCTTATTTCAAAGAATAACTAAGAAAGAAATTATGATGAAGGCAGCTATGTGTTAGGCAAGAAATTACCAAAAACATTCTGTTTAAATTGCTAACCTTGAAATTTCAAAAATGGCAATCGTGTTAAGAGTCAGCTATTTTTCCTCAAGCACCTGGTATGATTTTCTTCACTACTTGTTTTCAAGTATTTACAGATTTTCCTTAAGCATATTAAGTAACCCTTGGAAATAAAATACGTGACTGTGGTATGTGGAAAATCATGTTGGTTGGCAATCAGAAGCCTGAGAACACCCAGGGGAGGGTTTTGCCCTTTCAGCTCAGGTACACACATGGTGCTCCCCTCATGTTCTCCTATGTCACTGTCAGTGTAGTGGAGGCATTTGTGGTAGGTGCACTGCATATTCCCAGGAGTCAGGACACCTACATACATGGGGATAGGAGAATCAGAAAAATGAATTTTGAATTCTCAGTCAAAAAGAGACACCAAAGTACTTTGACTGTGGATGCATCAGCCATGAAGTTACAGCATAGGCTGCTGTCACCTCTCCTGTTTGCATCCCAGAGAGAGCAACATTACACACCAGGAGAAGGAAAAACATGACATCAACATCATAACTCATGCAGAAAGAAACCTAACTCGGCCACTGAGATGTCTGTGCTGCAGGGGTCTTGTATCAGCCATGCAGTGATCAAGAAAGGCAGAAAAAGGCAGACACACCGAGGCTATCCAAGTTAGAGGTTCACCTCCCTCCAATGACTTTATAGAGAAGTTAGATTTGAGGTTGCCATCTTCCAGCTTCAGGCAGAACTTAAGAAAACTGGAACACCTGGTTTATTGTACTAATAAACTAATACTTCTGCATCCTCCACCCTATTCACAGAGTTACGTTGAGGATTAGCTGTCTATGAGCTGGACACAAGGCTTCACCTGCCAGGGCAAAATCTTCCAGGGCTTTTAAAATGTCTCAGTTTCTTCAGAGCCTGTCTTCTTAGAGTAGATTAGGAGAAGCTGCTGTGTTACAGATGGATATTATTGACTGCAAAATGAATGAGTTAGAGCTAAAGACCAGACCCAGCGGTTTCCCAGGGAGACAATATGGCCCTGCTACCTTGGTGCGAGTTTGGGGATTCTAACAGCCTGTCTTCTCTCTCCATTTCACCACAAATCTCCTCTGTGACCATAAACAATCTGCTTGATCCAAATCAAAGGAGTTCAGCTTCCCTGGTTTCAAATTCCCATCAGTAAAATGAAAGTCATGGCCCTTCTCCACTTCAGAAGAATGTTGCAAGTATATTACACTAAAAATTATGAAGCACTACAAACATGAGTATTTAGGAGAACATCAGAAGGTATCATTCCCTCCATGCTTCCAGAGTAGCCTGCTCCTTCATCTTTTCATTGCTGAAGAGCTGAAGTACAAACTGTAGCTGAGAGATACATTTCCCTTAACAAGGTGTTAAACCATTTCTTTTAGAATGATAATTCCTTCAACAAAACCTATTTCTGGGATCCCAGCTTAAGATCCATGAAAGTCCTATTTTTGTGATTCAATTTCTTTTGGGCTTACAACTTTCAAAGGGCTGCAGCTTTGCAAAACCATTTTTACTGGAAAGGTTTCATGTTCCTACCAGGAAAGAAAGACTTGTTTCAATGCAAATATTAATTTCCAGCAGTACTGGCAGTTAAAATATTGTGATAGTAACACAATGCCACAAAACTTACAATGTGACATTGTTTTTCAAGCAAAAATTAGACTAAATTGGCTTTTAAAATTACTTCAATCAGGACCTAAGTCACTGTTAATAAAACATTCATCCATTTCATAAATATAGAATTTCTAAGTTTTTCCTCACATTTTATCAATATTTAAAGTTATTTTTACAGCTGAATCAATTTTTTTTAGTCTAAACATGTTCCCCCCTAACAACTGTAGGACATAGCTCTTCTCACTCATCTTTGTCAGCACTGTGCTTCCCTCCAGTGATGGAGAACATGGCTCACTCTTTCTTACCATTGTATATATGCATTAAGTGAACTTATACTGCTTTTATGACCTATTTTTAAAACATTCAAAATTATTTACTGTTGTGTTTGTACAATTGTGAGTAACAGGGCACATATTTCGAAAGGAGATGGAGAGTAAACAGGCTTGTTAGTGTATAATTATTGTACATGTGTTTCTGGTTGGTTGTTTCTATTTCACAAGCAAATAGGATGCA